GCTACAATGCATAGTACACAAAACAGAACATTTCACAAACACAGCAGTTTCCTGGGAGTGTAGAGTTTTTTAAAAAATTGTATAAAATTTCTTGATGCTAATTAAAAATTTTTTGTGTTGTCAATAGTTAAAATTCGTAAACCATGCAGGCTCGTGTTCGTCCTCCCATCGTTCCTCTTATATGGGGCAGATATTGTGCCACCTGGCTATCTTGATGTGGAGGTTCTTTAAATAGTCCAGGGTTTGCTCGTGGCTGCTGTGCTATTTTCAATTTTTAATTAGCATCAAGAAATTTTATACAATTTTTAAAAAAACTCTACACTCCCAGGAAACTGCTGTGTTTGTGAAATGTTCTATTCTGTGCACTATGTATTGTAGCATATACGTGTACGTACTTTACGTCTAAACAACTTATGTGATGGTGGTTTCCTATTTGTAGTGATGTTTGCCCTCTGAAGATGGTCCACAGAGACTGAAACATGTAAGAGTGTTAAGTTTTCATGTAGTAAAAAACTTACAGGTCACATTGGACGGAGTGATTTATACTTGTAATTGTTAGTGTGATGGACCAGAATGAAACAAATCAAAGTGAGAAATTAACAATAGCGTTGTAAGTGCTTGGAGTTCCAAGTCATGTGAATAAGTGGTAAATAAATCCATTCACCAATCCACCTATGGCCACATCCATAAATTGTGACAATATAACAGTTTAATGAAACACATAATACTCAAGAAACTTGTTAATATCAGTACAATTCATATGGTACAACTGCAAGTTATTCTGGAAGTGTGTCCACATATTATGTGCGGTGTCCACTTACCTGAGAGGCATGCTGTAGTAAATGTGGACAACATTTTCAAAGCTCCTTCTAAGAGGCTTGATACCGCACAGCACCAAACCCACAATTTATGGACTACATCAGACAAGCCTAACTCAGCTGCAACCAGTTTCACATCACCATCAGCACTAAGGAAGTTGGTCAGCATGGCAAATATGACGCCCACATCCCTCAATACAGGACACACCTGTTGACAGTAAATGGTATTAAATATAATACTGAAGCAACAACTTCACATACCACTACGCCAAGAACACAGAATGAAGTCTCATTGCTCAACCACTCCCACATCTACCTCAAGCGGTTACGCTTCCCCTCCCACACATCTCCTTATTTTCCCCTCCAGTTACCTACCCCTTCTGTTTACACATAACTTTTTTTATTGCTAGTGGGGTAGGACTAAGTCCCTTGTACTGCAGCCACTTCTGTCTTACTGTACCAGCCCCAGATAGGTGAGGGTGATTGTGAAGCAATTTGTGGAATGAAGATTGGCAGGGGAAACCGAAGTGCTCGGAGAAAACCTGCCCCAGCGCCACTTAGTCCACCACAAATCCCACTTGACAAGACCCGGGATCGAACCCGGGCCGCCATGGTGGGAAGCCAGCGACTAACCGCTTGAGCTATGGTGCGGCCCAACACATAACTTGCTAGTGACAAGCATTCTGAGTTGAATGATAAACACCAGAGGGAGTTAGAGTGGAACACAACAGTAGGCAGAGAGGGGGAAGCCTCAAGCACTGTCATCCCCCTCCATCTCTAGAAATTCTTGCCATGGTAAGGTAAAAGTTAAAGTGATCCCTGTGCTTCATTAATTAAGCACCACACATGCCATGAAGATGTTTTGGGAGTGGAGGCATAGCTCCACCATTCTTAACTTCAGCACTAGATGAATGTGAGTGGTCAGCTCCATGCCACTGTTGTTTTACTCCACAGGAAAAGCCCCCAATGCCCATCATATAGGAGGCTAGGTGGGGCCCAGCATTTTGAAGAGAAAAAGATGTGGCACCTGCTGGGAATTGAATTCATATTCCTTCAACATTCAGCTCGTAGCTTAGCGTTATACAGCTGGTACACTACGTGAGTTACCCCAGCTGCTAGTGCATGCAGCATTTGTTTCAACTGGTTCTGCTAAAAAATTCTGTTCAGAGATATTATATAAGAAGATAAGACAGAAAACACAGGTATCTCTCATTTTATAAACACCAAATTTATTCTTTTTTACAACAAAGTGCTATAACAAACAACTTACAATGATAAGTTCAGTGACTTTTACATGTAAAGTACATGGGGATTCCATTTCTAATTTATGAACTTTTACCTTATGAACAGTTTTCAGGGGATGAATTTTCTTTGCACAAAACAAGGAAGACCTGTAATCAGTATGAGGGTTCCACATGCAGCTCTGACTTGTGTCCTCAGCTTGTTAAAGTCAACCCAAGCACCAGATACTTACAGACACTAAGAGGAGACAATGCCAGACTTTACACTGAAAAATGTAACAGTTTTGACAAAACATCTGGTTTCTGTGAAAACAAGAAATAAGTTGCATTATTCATTTTGTTGCATCCCTTTCTCCTATAACCCACTGAAATACACATGCATTTTTACTACCTCAGAGGAACAATGGCCGCACCATAGCTCAAGCGGTTAGTCGCTGGCTTCCCACCACAGCGGCCAGGGTTTGATCCCGGGTCTGGTCAAGTGGGATTTGTGGTAGGACAAAATGGCACTGGGGCGCTTTTCTCCGAGTACTTCGGTTTCCATTGCCAATCTTCATTCCGCCAATTTCTCCATCATGATAATCACCCTGGGTAGGCACAATAGGCCAATCAGTGGCCATCCTGCTGAGGGGACCCAGCTGGACTCCACCTCAGTGGAACACACTCCCTCATGGATTGAAAAGTAAGCAAAGCAAGCAACCAGATAAAAACATGCTGCTTCCTGCTTGGCTTGCTCTTCGATCCTAGAGGCAGTGCATTCCTCCAAACCACCGGTGACCTTACAGTAGACTGTCTGGCACAACATCCTAGAAGACATTGCTCTTCAAGAAGGCATACAACTATAAACGAAGTGATCAGATGTGAAGCTGGAAGCCAAAATACATAGGCAGAGTTAAAGGAGAAACAGTTACAACAGTCTGGTAATGTAAAAAGAATGGACAGAACAAGGACACTGAGAAGGGAAAGAGATGATAAGAAATCAAAGAGGAAACACTGTGGGAAGAGAGATGAGATTTGAGACCTTGTGTCCACTGACCTGTATCAAACAGAAATTATGCTACAAGGAAAAGAAGACTATCCCAATAATTATGCAAATGGTCAAGCATTCCACACAAATGCAGCAAACTTACCCTCTTCTTATCACTCATCCGACGCAGGGTCTCAGCAGACTCTATGCTCAACTTTACGTGCAATTCTCGAAGTTGCACTACTAACATCTCAAGCAGACCTTGTTTCAGTGCTGCCTTCTTTGCTTCTCCAGACACTGCCAAAAGACTTGAAAGGGCACTCGTAACCAAATTTTTGGCTTTAATGCCAATGCCCTTGTCCCCAGAGCCTTGTGGAAGATTGTGTATTTCATAGAGACGTAGAAGTGAATTGCACAGTTCTCCGCCAACTGTTTGATTCTGTGCAGTTTCTCCATCTGTTCTTGAAGTGACAGGCTCTCCTCTGACAGATGCAGACCTACTTGTTTCTGAGATCAGTTTCCCTTTAGATTCGCTTGAAGAAAAGAAATGACCTACATTCTGATCCTTGTGACCTGTTACACTTGTACCAGAATCACACTTACTCTTACTGGCAGCGGTCTGATTTTGAGGAGACAATTCCTCTTGTGTAGAGGCAGAGGACATGTGTTCCTCCAATTCAGACATGTTCCTGTGATCGAGTTGTTCATTCTGACAAGCAGCTTCATACTGGTCACGATGTGTATGTCCAAACTGTTTCAACAGTTTATTGTGATTTGTGTGGCAATCCTGTTCTAGGACAGGGAAGTCACCATCCAGAAGATCCTGCACAGAGCGAAACTCTTCTGGCACTGATCTCATTCTGATCTCATGCGAAAGCAATGAAGTGAGTGATGTAAGGGCTGAATATCGCAGGTTTGTTGACAGGTCATTCTGAATAGCTGTTGCAAGTGTAGTGAAGAATGGCCATGGTCCACGAAGATACAGGGCATCCTGTACTGCTTCAAAACCTTGTTTCCTTGACAGGAGGGCAGAGAACAGATGAAATATCTCAGTCCACAATCGATTGCGTAGAAAAGCCAGTTGAGGAGACTGTATTGCTGTAAAGAAAAAGAATGGCATTATCAAGAATGAAGTGTTCTGGATTCTGACACATTGCAGATTTGTGGCCAGACACCGATGTTTTGCATATTCCTCTGAAGGTAAGCATGTGTTCACAAAACTACATGATGTCACAGGCCAGATGACAACAATCTTAAAATCACTGCAATGAAAACCTCCAGACATAAAATACATTTCTCGTATAATGTCACAACGATTCAAACCGGATAAATGTCTGGATTTCTTCTGCTGAGACAACACAGAATAACCTGAACACATAATAGTAATCAACAAAAACAACAATAAAATATAATCAGTGTCAGCTTCTAGAGCAGTAGGCTCTTGAGACCAATTAGGAAATTCTGATAAGGAAGTATAATGCACTATATTTATAAATACAAACCACTCTGTCCAATGTGACAACACAGCAAGCCACGAACAAACCTTGGACAACATCAAGATAGACAGGTGGCACAAAATCTGCCCCATACAAGAAGGACGATAGGAGTACGGACACGAACCTACATGGTTTAACAAATTTTAACTATTGACAATAAAGGTTTTTTAAATAACATCTAGAAACTTTTAAACACTTTACAACACCAGGAAGCTGCTGTGACTGTGAAACGTTCGACTTTAAGCGTACTGTGCATGATAGGATATAAGTGTATGTATTTTAAATCAAAACACCTATTGTGATGGTAGTTTCCAGTTTGTAATGATGTTCCCTCTGAAGATGGCCCGTAAGGACCGAAACATGTAAGGGAGATAAGTTTTAACGTAGTAAAATCTTATATGTCACATTGGACAAAGTGGTTTGTATTTATAATTGTTAGTGTTATGGACCAGAATGAAACAAATAAAAAAAAAACACTATATTTATCTGAAAATGAATTGATATTGTGGCATGCCACTTAAAAGCCAGAATATCCAAGTAAAAGTGGGCGCCCACTGTTAGGCAATGGCTAGGTATCCACAGTTCCATAGCATTGTCAGGGTGACAATGAAATAGGTTGAAGCGACAACGCATACATAAGAGACATTACCATGCAAGTGAAAAACCAGAACTAGTGAAGTTGCCACAGTGGCTTACCATGGGACTAGTATACATGCACTTCCATGGAAACCTTCAGCTAGACATATAAGTTATGGCAGAAACTGAGGTGTTTCCATGGTAACACGTACATAGGCAGGAGGTTACCACAGAAATGAAATACTGAACTGATCAGGGCGGTGTCTGCTATTCAGTACGTCAAGAACCTACTTCACAGAGATTACACCAGATGTAATGAGATCAGAACAGAGATAACCAGAAGAGAGACAAGATCAGAACAGAAGCAGGAGGAGAACCAACAGAAGTCTTCATGTGGCGTAGTTACAGTGAACATTAGAGTGTAATCATTGTTCATAGTTTTGAAATGTTATAATTATCATGTGTCATAACTGCCTGTAGTTCTGCCTGGTGTAATTCTCCAATAAACCACTTCCATTAATGATATGTTACGAAACCCCTGACACGTGACAATATTTTGGGGACAATATATAGAAGTACATTGATACAGAAGTATAACAGCCTAAGGGAAATATGGAAGAGGGTCCAGTGACAGCTAACTGCATTTACAGTTTCATGTGCAAGCTCAACCAATTTCTGTGATGCGCACCTGACAATTAGCAAAGTCTGTATCTGCCAGGGTACTCACAGTATGTACCAGGATCGAGCAGAGCGAGCAAACAACACACACAGTTGTGTGTGTGGAGAACTGTTCTGTGACACACTTCGTCTAGCAAGACACACTTCGACAGGACAGAGCACACTGCAGTGCACATTTCCAGAATGTCCACATACAGTAGCATGTTACCACCATGTCCTTGCTGCTGGGGAACACCGGCCACTAGGCAACTGCAACATTCAAAGCAAAGCAAAACAAATATTACTGTGTTCAAAAAGAACAGCCCAAAGACATCAAACAGTACCACAGTTAGGGCCGATTAAGCACTTGAAGCATAATAGCAAACATATGTACCAGTTGTTTTTACGCTAAAAATTGTGCATTTCATCCACACAGAATGTTTACGTGTTCTGCATGGATCTCATAATAAACACAGGTAAAGTAAAGTTAAGATGAGGTCACTGGATTTTTTTTTTCAATTTATCTAATCCTTCCAGCCACACTATGGCCCTGGGTTCAACTCAGCCTCTAACAGAAATGAGTACCAGGAATATTTTTGGTATATTCTTGGGGGTAAAAGGAAACTGGCGCATAGGGCTGACAACCTCACTGCCATTTATGAGCCGACTGTCTAGAAAATGTGGGAACCTCAACATCTCACAACTCTATGGGCGTCCATGGCCTGTTACAGAAATGCCTTTATTTTTTTACTTTTCACTTACTTTTAAAGTAAGGTTAAAGTTGTACCTATGCTTAACTAATTAAGCACTATGCCATAAATGCATATGGAGGAGTGGATCTACAGATCCACATTTCCTCAGCCTCAGGACTAGTTGCAGGAGAGTGGTCAGCTTCACACCTCAGCTGCTTTACCCCTGAGGAAAGAACCCCCAGTACCATTCGGATAGAATTCCAACCTCTCAGTTGTCCAGCCCATAGCCAGTCGCTATACTGACTGCACTATTCCAGCTCCCTAATAAACCCATGTTATTTCCATAAACCTAGTCAGCAACTGTGGAACTTCTAAATATTATTTAGAAGTTCATGCTTTAAAGGTTTCATGTTAATCATGATGTATCCAATGAGGACTAGTGATGTGAAACGCAAGGCTGTATATACAGGGCTACTTCTGCAGTCATATGCAACAGTATGTTGGATAGCCACATTGCTGGCCCGCTGAGCCAGCTAACAGAGGTTCAGAAGCTTGACTACAAAAAGCAGGTCCAATAACTCACATGTCACTTGCTGCAGACAGCTTCAAATTGAAAGATTACAGAACATGAGGAGCCAAAACTCTAGAAACATGAGCGATGCACGTAACAAAATAAAGCCTTGGAGTTTATTATACAGTCACTGTGCACAATGATAAGAGCAACTTGTGTCCTGTTGTTTTATTTATAGCTTATTTACTGACTCCTCCAAGAACTCAGGTTACATGATTAATGAAAAATGAATTTGAGGAAATATGGAAGGAACCAATGACAGCTTAATCTGACGTACTATCCCATCATTCCTTGAAAGGACTGACGAGACTCACAACAGATCTCAGTTAGGACACCTGCTCTCAGAGCTGAAATCTGAACCAGACACAAACCTGTGACATTCATTCTGACAGCATAATGATCTCTGACGCACCTGAATAACAGTCTGACTAAGCCAAATCTGGTAATGTGCTGAAGCGCATCATCAGGACTCAGAGCCAATAGGTTCACCATTAGCCAACACACGGCCTTCACAAGACCTGGTGTTGTCTTAACATGAGGCTCCAGCTGTGAACTGCCATCAGTCACACTTTCTGTCGGTGCTGAGGAATCTGCATTCACTGTAATACATTTTAGTATCAAACATCATCATGCTAAAACAAAAATTAAAAAAGCTACAAATAGTTCTAAATTCTATCAATTATAAAATGAAAATCATGAAAAGAGAGATCCTAACACAATGCAAAACAGCACTCTATAAACTTAACCCGGAAAAGTGTCAACTTTTGCAGGAAGAGGTCAGGTACCTCGGACATATTGTATCACCAGAAGGGGTATCCACCAACCCGGAGAAGTTGAAAGCCGTGGGAGAATGGCCGACCCCGAAGGATAAACATGAAGTTAGAAGCTTTCTGGGACTATGCGCATATTACAGGCGATTTATTTCAGGGTTTTCCAATATTGCAAAACCACTAACGAAACTAAGGGAAGAGAAACAAACCTTCCAGTGCACTCAAGAAGTTGAGGCTGCTTTTCAAACACTAAAGAGTGCCCTATGTGCTGCCCCTATTCTTGCCTACCCACAGCCAGGAGAGAAATTCACTGTGGACACAGATGCAAGTAATGTCGGAATTGGAGGAGTTCTCTCTCAAATANATTCCTTGAAAGGACTGACGAGACTCACAACAGATCTCAGTTAGGACACCTGCTCTCAGAGCTGAAATCTGAACCAGACACAAACCTGTGACATTCATTCTGACAGCATAATGATCTCTGACGCACCTGAATAACAGTCTGACTAAGCCAAATCTGGTAATGTGCTGAAGCGCATCATCAGGACTCAGAGCCAATAGGTTCACCATTAGCCAACACACGGCCTTCACAAGACCTGGTGTTGTCTTAACATGAGGCTCCAGCTGTGAACTGCCATCAGTCACACTTTCTGTCGGTGCTGAGGAATCTGCATTCACTGTAATAAATTTTAGTATTTTACTGAATGCGACGTTGTCAAACATCATCATGCTAAAACAAAAATTAAAAAAGCTACAAATAGTTCTAAATTCTATCAATTATAAAATGAAAATCATGAAAAGAGAGATCCTAACACAATGCAAAACAGCACTCTATAAACTTAACCCGGAAAAGTGTCAACTTTTGCAGGAAGAGGTCAGGTACCTTGGGCATATTGTATCACCAGAAGGGGTATCCACCAACCCGGAGAAGTTGAAAGCCGTGGGAGAATGGCCGACCCCGAAGGATAAACATGAAGTTAGAAGCTTTCTGGGACTATGCGCATATTACAGGCGATTTATTTCAGGGTTTTCCAATATTGCAAAACCACTAACGAAACTAAGGGAAGAGAAACAAACCTTCCAGTGCACTCAAGAAGTTGAGGCTGCTTTTCAAACACTAAAGAGTGCCCTATGTGCTGCCCCTATTCTTGCCTACCCACAGCCAGGAGAGAAATTCACTGTGGACACAGATGCAAGTAATGTCGGAATTGGAGGAGTTCTCTCTCAAATACAGGACGGAAAGGAGCGTGTCATAGCTTACTTCAGCAAGACGCTAAACAAAGCAGAGAGAAA